ATTCCTGCTCATTATCACATACTTGACGTTAATCTAAAACCCGAAGCCCTTACGTAGTACCCAGATGACATTCAGGTAAGCTGTTTCCCGGCACAGACCAGCTTAGTGACTCAGTGGCATCGTTTCACATTTTTGAACATCTCTGACTTTGACACCAGCTGGAGCATTCAGGCTCTAAGGGCACCCTCAGCTTCTGGATCGCTGTCCCACACTCCGGCGAGAGTGGCAGTGACAAGGGTACCTGCCAGCTTGGTGCTATGCGCAGCTTTGCTCTCGGACCCCTCCCTCCAGGCCTCCCTTGAGGGCCACCAGAGAGTTGGCCGCTCTGTCCCTGCGGGATGAGTAAAGAGCCACTGAGCCCCCGGGAGGGAGGTCGCGCCGCGGAACTGTTCTTGCTGGCTCAGCCACGTACTTGCCTTTCGGGAGAAATAGGGTCAGCCGGGTGTGTGCCCGTGAAGACCACGCCCCTCAGAGTGGCGGCCTGGCCTGCAGGCGTAGGTGTCGGCCTTTGTGCGCGACCTTGACTCATTCTCCCCAAGTGGCCTCCCGGACCCTTCGCGGTGGCTTTATTTGCGACGGGAGATGCGACCGGCAGGGCGAGAACAGCTTGCACTTGGCGCTGTGGGTCATGCAGCTCTGTGGCGCGAGAACCTCAAGGGGATGGCATGGCTTCCCGCTCATGGCCAACGCAGCGAGACCGTGGGTATGAAATAAAGAGTGGCAAGTGGGGCCCCCCATGGCCAGGGCGGTCAGTGACAGTGAAGGACCCGCGACTCCCGGGGAACGGGGAGGTGTCCTTCCCTGGGCCAGGCCCGTACAGCGCGTAGAGGTACGCTCGCACACGGCAGGACAGTGTCTTCACGAGGACGAGCACCTGCATGTCGCAGTGACCGCTGAGACTCGGGTGGTGGCCACCTGTCCCCTGTCCGGAGTAGCCACTTCCCACAATCTGGACCGGGCAAGGGCGGGCTGGGGTGGGGCCGCCTGAGCAGGTTCTGTGGCGGGTGCAGCTCGAGTCCTGGTCGCGGCTGTGTTTTCCATCAGGGAAATGAGAAGGTTTCCTTTCTGAGAAGCAAGGACAGTGTCCTGTGGGCCGTGGTGCTTGGCGAGCAGCAGGTCTGCAACTCGGCCGGCAGAGGGCACTCCGTGCACGTTCCCGGCCAAGTGTTGAATGGTGTCCTTCGTCCCCCTGCCGCTTGGTAGACACTGGACACGCACAGGCCGCCTGAGGGTCCCTGGGGGGTGTGCAGCCCATGGGCCTGAGCCCCCTGCTGCCATTCCATTAACAAAAACCAAGTCTTTTACCAGGGACTCTTTCCTTCCTTTTTTTGAGAAGTTTTTTTTTTTTTTTTTTGCTGCAGGGTGCTTGCACTTGCCACAGACCGCAAGAAATCGGCCCCCTTGGGGGGCTGGGGGGCACACTGCAATCCCTTCTCCGTTCTCCTCTTTGGATCTTGAGTGGGCACGTACACACGTCTGGTGTGTTTTAAGCCGCTGGGTCTAAGGCTTAAACCGGGTTGAGCCCGTGAGAGTCCAGCGGTGTAGCCAGTTCCGCATCTGCTGGTCCCACATTTTCAGTAGTTTAAAGAGCTTGCAGAAGCAGCATCTTGAGCCCTCCTCATCTGCATAGCAGAAGACTCCTTAGTGGGAAGGGGGACCCCAGACAGAAAGTTCCAGTAAATGACACTTTGGCCTAGCCTGCCAGAATCCCGGGATTCCTACGAGCAGGGCTGCAGTGAGGGAAGACTGAAGAAAGTTGTCTTGCCACCGGCTGGTGCCAGGCGCAGCCTCTGGCGCTTTGCCTTTCCCTCGGGTTCCTGGCTCTGCCTCTTCTGGCTGAACCCCACTGTGGCTGAACTCCTCTGTGCTCTGCAGGTTCCTACTGTGACGTGGCCTCAACCCCCCTCTACCTCCTCCAGGCGTCTCAGCAGCTGAAGTGGGCTGCAGCCTGTCGTTGGGGGCCCAGATCTGGGGTCGGTGACAGACACTGCTGACGTCCCGGAGGGCACTGGCGTTAATAGACCCACTCTAGTGGCTTAACGTTTGACGGAAGTGGAGCTGGTCATGGGGCACTTCGCTGGAAGGAAGCGCTGGTGTTCTCTGGCAGTGGAGGCGTGGACATGGATTGCCCTGTGCACCGAGGCAGTACCTTCAGTGGCGGCAGTGGCTTGCTGTTGGGTTTTTCTGTAGGTGTGTGCCGTGCACCTTGGGGTCCCCGTAACCCCATCTGGGGCCTCTCCCACTGAGCTGACTGCGGTGCCCACCCAGATGCACAGCTTCCAACCCGCCTGTGCAGACAGAGCTGGGCCATGCACTGTGCCTCGTGGGCAGCTGCAGGGGGCCTGCTGGGGTGACTCGCGCTGTGATCTGCCCCAGCAGCCTCCTCTGGAGCGCCCTCTGTCCTTGAGCAAATGGCATGATTCTCCGACTCCAGAATGAAAGCGTGAGTCTTGGAAATCAGCTGACACTGTTTATTGCTCAAGGTAAACTTTGAGGTTTTGCGCAGCACTTAGAAATTGGAAACATCGTGAGCTTGATGGCTCCCGGCACTGAGAGACTGTGCGAGAACTTCCTTTGTGTCGGCTAAGGAAGCCGCAACAGTAGGGACCCCAGCCTGGAGCCCCGGGGCGCTCAAGGCCTGGGACGTGCGCACGTGCCCAGCAGACCAGGGGGACCACGTCCACGTAGAGGTCGCGCCTCCGCCAACCCAAGGCACACCGGAGCAGCAGGCCTTCGTGCGGGGCAGCGGTCAGGGTGCCAAGCAGGAAGGGCAGCCTCTGCTCCCGGAAGTAACTGCTGCTCTTTGTTGAAGAGGGCTTCCTGTGTCACGGAGCTCTTTCGTCCCCTGTACTGGGGCCTGCTGGCTGGTGTGTGCACTCACCAGAGTGCCGGGTGTGCGGACGGTCAGGCTGTGTCCACAGTCCCTCCTCTGCCTCTGCCTCCGCCTCCTGATGGGATTTTCGGCACCATGCAGTACTCAGGAGACCAGAAGGGTGGGGACTGGGGAGACCTCCCTGGGTGATGGCCACACCGCAGTCCTGCTCATCCCTGTTCGGGGATTTGCTCACGCACTCGCACATGCCTGGCATACTTTTCAAGCCACCAGGACTCGAACCGCCATTACCCACATGAGCTCCAGCTGCCGTCTCCACCACGCCACCAGCTGGCCTGGGGCTGCAGGCTGCACTTCTGTGATCACATGGCACGCATCCTGTGGTGGGGTCGCACACTAAGTCGTGGTGGGGACCTCTGGAGCTTTGTGGCCTCCACCTCGATGTGCATGTCAGGTTCTCACTTTTTGGTCGATGCCCACATGTATTATTTCATAAGTGGATTAACTTTTGTACGAGATTCCCTGTGGTGAATTATTAAAGGACATCAATTTTGCAAATATAAAATATTCTGAACACAGCCCCTTTGGTTTCGTTTTGGAGAAGTTTTTGCTGTAGGACCCTGGGCTCACCAGAAAGGCAGAGAAGCGAGAAGTCGCTCCTCGGAGGGATGGCCACACCACAGTCCCTCCTCATCTTTCTTCTTTTTTTTTAAGATTTTTTATCCCTCCTCAATAATTACTTCATTTCATTTATTTTTATCATTTTTTAACTTGGTGTAGGGCATGTGTGTGTGTGTGAGAGCGAGCGAGCGAGCTGCCAGATGCTGGCCAACCCTGTGGGAGCCCAGCACCCTAACTACCGTCCGTCTCCAGGTCCCTTTTTAAGTTTTGTGCTTAGGGTGGGCGCATTTGCTCTCCAGAGAGAGTGAGGGGAGGTGAGAATCACCCCGGGGGAGATGGCCACATCACAGTCCCCTTTCCTCCACTCTTCTCCTTGGGTTTTGGACACACAGATACGCACCTGGCAGGATTTTCACACTGCCAGGTCTGGGACTTGAACCACAGTCAGCCACATGGCAGTCTAGCACCCTAACCGCTATGCCACCTATTGGCCTCTTGAATACATCTTTTTATCTCGTTCTCCTTAGCAGGAACAGCTACATTTTTTTTTTTTCTGATTACTATTTACAACTCAAATCCAGAAAACCTGTATTTTTGTTTTAATTTTTGCCCCAGGGTGCCGTGGGTTCATCTTAAAGAGAGCGAGGTAGAGTGAGGGCAAGTGAGAAGGCACCCCCTGGACCTGGTCACCCTGAGTCTCTCGCTCCCTCTCTCCAGGATTTGGTGCACAGCGCATGGGTCTAGGGCTTAACCCATGCGGTTGGCCACGTGGGGTCTGGCCGCCCTAACCACCACGGTACCAGCCGGCCCCACATGTGTGCTTTCTTACATATCTGTTGAATGTTTTAAAATGGCTTTTCCTTTCGAGAATGTATTTCTTTGCTTTTATAAATGCTTGATGGCGTAGAGTACAAAAGATATTTTTCCTTTAAGAAGTATTTCGTTTTATTTGTTATTTTTAAATTTAACTAGAGAAAGAGAAAGGGAAAGGGAAAAGCAAGCCACCAGGTCTGGGACTCAAACTGTGGTCGGCCATGTGGGAGTCTAGCAACCTTCACCACCACGCCACCTGCTGGCCCCTCCGTGATCTTTTTACCAAGTGGTTCTGCACCCCAAAGTAACCCTCGAGGTCGGGCTTACATGAGAAGAGACGGTGGCATCCAAGGTGTCGAGGTGTCGATGGCGTCTTTGGCAAACCCAAGCCAGCCCGGAAGTCTAAATGGTCCCTGTCCCTTTAAAAGGAAGGGGACTGGAATGTTTCTTTGTTCTGGGGTCACTGGGGAAGACAAGGTTGGAGGGAAGGCAGTTGGAGTGCACAGGAGGGAGAGCCCGGGGACACGGCATCTTGGTGAGTGAGTGGACGTGGCTGCCTGGCAGAGGGCCCGAGGTGAGGCGGCCTGTGTCCGCACACGGGGGCTGTCCCATCTCGAGGCCTGGCGGCCAGGAACGCGTCTTCCCAGCCGTTTCTCAAGTTTATAACGAAGACGGTCTGGCAGTGTCGAGAGTTTCAGATACTCACACTTGTAGATGTCTTTGCCCGTCAGCCTTTGCACTTCCTGTTAGTACTTCTCTGCTCTGTGTTGGCGTTTTCTTCTCAGGCCGGGTTGGACTCAGAACCAGGCTCATGCTTGGAGAGAAGCCGAAGCCTGGTCCCTGGTCCCGGCACATCCTTGGCCACAGCTCCTTCTGGGCCGCCCTCGGCAGGCCCTCGAGGCCTGTACTCAGGGCATATGTCCCCTTAGGGGCTGGTGTCCAACTCCCTGCTGTCCTCGGAGAGTGTTCTTCCCCTCCAGGTAGCGGCGATGGGGAGCTAGCTGGGTGCCGCTTCTCTGTTCCAGTTGGGGTTTTACTTAGCGTACCTCAAGATCTGTATTTCGTGTTTCCTTCCAGGAGCTCACTCCACGGGAGCAGTCTCTGGCTGATCCGATCCAAGTTTCCAGAAACTCCTGTCCTGTTGCTTGGGAGCCGTGAGGCCACTGTCTGCCCGGACCACGGGTTCTGCTGGCTAGGCATTTTGTTCCTAAGATTGGGGGAAGTGCCCACGACTCCTGTTGGGGCAGGTAAAGTATCAGCCTTAAACAGCAGCACTGTCTTCTCCGGCACGGCCCGTTCGTCTCCTTGTTTCCGAGGCACCACTGGTGAAGACCCGGTGTGACGTGTCCCTCTCGTGGACGCGCTCTGCCTGCGGGTGTCCATGCTCAGCCCTGCTCTGAGCCCGTGTTGGTAGAGTACGTACCTCTTCCTCGGGCATCTGCTGGTGGGCACCAGCCAGCACAGAGGGCAGCTCCCCTGCAGCTGGCCTCCCCACTGCTCCCCACCTTCTCTCCCGGCTCTGCCTGAGCTCCCTGGGCCCAGAGGCAGAAGGCTGCACCCACACCCTTCTGAGTGAGGCTGGCGTGGCCGCCGTTGTGCCTTCTGTAGAAATTCAGAGTGCTGTCTGAAAGTGGGGTCGGAGCCCCGTTGGGGCCCATCACGTCAGCTGCAGGCTCGCTGGTCTGTGCGAGCGATGAGCTGCTCTCTGGACACGCACTGCCAGGAGAGTGAGTGAGTGGCTTCTTAGCTGCCTGCCGGGAGCCAGCGTAGTGTGGCTGGCTGGCGCTTGTGTAATTTCTCTGTAAGTGCCCACAACCTCTCGGTCACCATGGTGTCCTGGATGGGAGCAGGTCAGTGAGACCTGTTCCGGGCGATGGGCCGGCAGGAGACGCCCGTCTCTGCCACAGCCCTAGCGCTCACTCACATGGGTCCTCGGCGTGCGCCGGGCGGCCTCACTGCTCTCACTCTTACTTGGAATCGGTGTGGACACCCTGCTTTGTCCTTTGACAAGGCAGTCACTGCGGGTGACCGGAGGAGTGTGTGTCGGGTGTCCAGGGCCATGCCATGTCCAGCAGCGTCTGGTTGGACAGTAAAGGGGAGGAGTGACCACATGCCGGAGGCGACAAAAGAACAACCAGGTTGCAGGTGGTGGTCACGTGCGTGTACTGTCACTAAGGTCACACCTCACACCACGTCCCTCTGGGCGGGAGGGAAGCCAGGACAGCTTGGGTGAGAGCGCTCAAGCTGCTCCTGACAGGCGAGGGGTCGTGCAGGTGTGTTCTCAGTGCCGGGAGTGCGGGTGCCTGAGCTCCGCCCTCACAGCCCGTGGGCAGGGCAGGGCAGGGCAGCACTCCGGCACTCCACTCCTCTCTCTGGTGGTCGGGAGGGTTCGGGGCTGGGAGGGAGTGCCTGGGGCTGGTCCTGGGCTCAGCTGGGCCCTGCCTTCTTGGAGCCCAGAACAGATGTGACCACCTTCTCGCAGGCCTGGCCCAGTCTGGCCTGGGTGCATTCCTTTGCTGTGCTCGGGGCCAGGGGGCCCGGGCAGGAGCACAGGCTTGGACCACCTGTCCCTGAGCTTCACACCAAGGCCCCCCCGCAGCCTCGCGGCGTGGGCGTGCGTGTGCATGCACACT